CACACACACACACCACACAAACACACACACACACACACACACACACACACCACACACACACACAGGGGCAACAGAGTTTCAGTCCAACCCGGAATGCCTACTTCAGAATCTTGGCCCTCTCGTGGCACTCTCCATCCAGGGAAGAAAATAAATAGAATAAATTAAAGCTGAATTTTAAATATAAATGTAAAAGGCAAAACAATAAGGTTTTTAAAAGATAACAGCGAATATCTTCATAATGTTGGGCTACATAAAGATTTGTTAAACAAGACTCTAAGCATACCATTGAGGAAGTGGTAGAATTATTGGATTGTTAAAATTATTGCATATTAAAGTAAGAACTGCTACTCACTAAAAGACAACATTAAGAAAATAAAAGGCAAATAAACTAGAAGATATGGGATAAAAGGTCTTCAACATGTACACTGTGAGACACATTGTATGCACTAGATTGCAACACATTTTCCCCTCTTTCTCTTTGTTCCTATGTATCTAAAGGTGTACTTTCACTTAGCACAATCATCTTACACTTTTTTTTTAATTTTAAAGAAAGAAAAAAAAAGATAAATATAACAGTGAAACCGAGTTTCCAAGCAGGTATTGTGTTCCTTGGCCCACTAGTCTGGTTTTCAATCTGTAGGTGTTATAATTAACTTTTTAAGGACTTTTAAGATAAATAAATGAACTTGATGATGTAAAAATAAAACAGAGTAGTGGGAGAGGGGAAAGAAGGGAACTGAAATGTGTTGTGTACATATACCAATCCGCTACAGTGATTACGTACTGCAAACATGTACTAATAAAAGTAAAACAAAAAACCTTTAAAAAGTATGCACAAACAGTGCAACAGTATGCAGATATCCACCACTTACATGTAATATCTATAACTAACGCACTCTATGTATACTGACATATAGACATACAGATATCTGTTGATTATATATGTCTCACACACGTATCGAGAATCCACACAATCAGTAAAATACTAACAGCAAGGAACAAAAATAGAAGACTTGAATAGGAGTCTCACAATAAAGGAAAAAGGAAGAACAAATGCCTAATATACATTAGTCATCAAACAAATGCAAACTTAAGACATGAGTGCACACCAGTAGAATTAAGAAATTTCAAAATATCAGGTCAGGAAGAGCTGACTGCTGGTGACAGGGCATAACGCTGTCTAATTCTCTCTGTCATTGTGAACTACACATCTTCCCCC